CGCATACCGTTGGATAACCTTTGAAGTGGCCACACGCTGGACAGGCACGAGATCCGGTATCGGCCACACACGAGGATTCTGGCTCGAAGAGTCACCCCCCCTACGAGCGGTTCGCCAAGGCGAAGACCGTCGGCCAGAGTCGTTGGTATTTGGCGCACAAATTATGCGCCAACTGCCAACTACTGGCCAACGGTCTTGGCCTTGGCCAAGCACTGGTAGCCGATGTTACGTCCTGATCTTCAAGCTCCTTGCGGGAGCAAGCTGATGCGGAGCAAGAGGTAATGATATGGGCAGCGGATGGTATGAAAGCTGACAGGCATCGGAAAATGCCAGCGGAGCGAGTGAGCCCTGACTCTCTGTTTTCACTACCTCCCAGCGTGTGGCTTTCACAGGACGCTGATCACGTGACCTATGCTGCTTGGAACTAGCCGGCAAGCGCCCTAGATGGTCGCGGGTCTATGAGCCTGACTGGGCTGCTTGTTTACTGCAATGTGCCGCAAACTGCAAGCACAGATAATGACTCATCTTTCTTTCACCTCGTCATCTTGGTTAACCCGCCCTTCTAAGTTTCAAGTTGTGCTCCTGTTTGAAGTCTTGAAGTTTGTCCAGCAAATTGGCTCGAAAAACATTGTGTATCAGGCAGCAGTCCTGAGTTGTGGTGTCCGGCAGCTCAGAGTCCACAGCAAAAAGGTTATCCAGGTGCTCCACTCATTTTTAAATAGTGATCCAGCCCTCAAACAGATACACTCGTCTGAATACACTCCCTACATTTGCTTGTAATTTGCAGTACCTCCTGTATAACAAACCCTCAGATTTTTGTGTGGCTCCTTCACTTAAAGTCTGGCATTCTCTGGCTCTGTGTTCCATGTCCTCATCCTGAAGAGCTCCGTTTTCGATTCCTTCCTCATGAGTTGTGTAGTCCATTCTCAGCTGTCCCCTATTTATGTAAGCGTACAGTCCTTGGGACCCTGGGCTTGCTTGAGATGACCTCAGGAACCCTTTGACCTGGAGCCCGGTGAGGTGCTGGTTGAGCTCCGTGGCGGCCAGGGCGGGCTCTTGGACCGCCTGCAGTTTGTCACCAGCCGTGGCCGGGAGTCCAAAGCCTATGGCGGCAGCGGTGGCGACGCCTTCAGCTTCAAGGCGCAGCTTTCACAAGCTGTTAGGGCTTGAGCAAGCCCGGAAACTGCGCATTCGCAGCAGGCAAGCGATGGCAAAATGATCGTCGGACTGAGCCGGAGCGCCTCCCAGCTACAAGCCGCCGTTATGCACCTCTGAACCCAGCGTGCCTATGACAGCAAAGGTTGGCTTAGCTGGCAAGATCACAGCCATCGAGGAGTGCCTCTTCCGACCTCTGACTCCCGCCGAAAAGGAGTTGGAGGAGGCGTCGGCACTGGTGCAGGCGCCTTGCCATGTCTCTTTGTCCAAGCAGCAAGCGCATTGACATACCTCACATCCATGCTGCATCGGGAGTTGCTGCGAGGAAGCTCGGCGAGGTCTTTCTGCAAAGGCAGGCGAGATCAAGGACCTATGGGCACATCCACTTGTCTGACCAGGGCCGGGCACGTGCTGTGCAGGAGCTGAAGGACAAAATCGAAGTGGCTGCTGGTGCACATGCCGCATACCAGAGCCTGAATGCATGTGGTACAGCCCAGCTGGGCCAGTACAGCTACAAGATCTGTCCATTTGGTGATGCCACGCAGGGCCATGTGTCTCGGCAGATCGACGCGCGTCTAACTCTTGGCACTGTTGCAACGGGTGGCGTGCAGTCAGGTGCGATTGGGCCGTTGGAAGGGCTGGGCGAGTGACAGCCCGCACGTGGGCCTCTTTGAAAACGGAGAGCGCTGCTTTTCTGGCATTGTCCGCTCCTTGCGGGTGCAGTTTGAATGCCCCGCAGCTGCACCTCACTGACCGTTGCTCATTGTTTGTTTTGGCATCTCTGCCCAAGCGATAAAAATTAAAATCTGAGGTGGGGAAGGGCACGTTATTGAGACGGCGGCTTGTCTTGGCTTTAGCTTTTAGACCTCAGGAACCTGGCCCTCCTGGCCCATCACCAAGGTGAAAGAGCCGAGCCAATGCGTCTACGAAGCGACCATGACCCATCCGGCCGCCTGTGATCCCAAGGCCTTCGAGGTCAGCAACCGGGTCCTCCAGCCTCATGAGGGGCATGTTGAGCTGTGACATTCCTCTGGTTTCCTCGGCCAAAGATCACGGATGTGCTCCGCTGCCGAGGGTTTCACTGGCCACTGGCCCATCTAAACCGATCAATTGCCAACATGTAAGAACAAAAGCTGGCTTCTGGGGTCCAGTTGCTTTGTGAATCTCTGTGCGTGTAACATCGTGTAACACTCAGCTGGCATTTACCCTGCAACATTAGCATCACTGCCTTTTTTTTGCACGGAACGACTTCAGTGACTACGAGGCCCTGGCAGGTGCAAACCCTCGCAGCACCTTTGCCGCTTGCCCCAGGTGAGTGCATGTACAAAGTATCACGAATCCAAAATCTATATGCATACTCCATTATACCCTACATCCTTGCCATCATGTTCTGGCATTTCATGCTACGGATATTTCAAGGGTGGAAGCCCCAGTCAGTTCGAGCAAGCGGCCATCAATCCGAGGACGCTCAAGCTGATCCTAGTAAGCCCACAAGCAAACTGCACTGGGTATTGCCGTTACGGTCTTTGGGACAGGCTTGAATCGCTGGAGTTTTCTTGAAGTTCGAATTTGCCTTGAGCAAAGACCTTTGGCGAGGTTTGCCAACACGACACAGCAAAGCTGCGAGGATACCATGACAGCCAATCAACCACACGCTAGAGATAGCACTGGCTGAGGAAACCTCACCAGCTTCACTTGCTGCATGGCGGTGGCCATCAAAAGGGAACCTCAGACGCCCCGGCGATGGCTGCCAACATGACTGCGGCCTCCATCAAGCAGCGGCTGCTTGAGCTGAGTCGCGAGGAAAGGCAAGGCAGCTTGGGCGACGCCGCTTCCCTGGCTTCGCAAGGGCAGAGCACGTCCAGTTTCCTCGATGGCTTTGCTCTATCGCGGCCGCAGAGCGATGCCCCGTGCGGCATGCAGGCACTCACTGCTCCGATTGTGTTCCCAGCACCCAAGCTTGCCGCATCTCCTGCACCTACTGTTTCAACAGCCTCTCCGCAAGCCCGGCTGAGCCAGTCGCAGTCCAGGAGGTCACCTGCAACTTCTCAGGAGGCGCAAAGCCAGCCTTTCCACTGGGTCTGCAACACTGATTTCAGGACCGCTTTCGGGGGCAGCAGGTATGCTCCCATTCCAGCTGCACGTTATGCAAAACCATCCATGCAGGAGACGAGGTGATGTGATGAACGCTGCCTGTGCTCTACCTCCCCAAGGCGTCGAGGCCCTGGGGAACTGCTTCATGTGAGCTGTTGCAGCAGATCAGTCGGCAGGACACGGACAATTCCGAGAGCGGGTCCGACTCTTTGCCTCAGTTGAGGCAAATTCGTGAGATTTGCTGGCAGCAGATGAAGCTCTTGAAAGCGCACAGCGATCTCCTGCAGCATGGGAAAGTCTCGGGTTTGCAGCTGGAAGCCTTGAAGCAGCAGCAGCAGTTGCTTCTTCAAGGTGTAGAAGGCCAGCTGAAGCAGCTCTTGGAGCCGCAGCAGGGCTCTCGGCGTGCAGCTGCAGAGCGTGAAGAGGAGGCGTTGGTGTTGGCTGGGGCAGACGCTGCAGACAGCTGCCGCATGGCAACCTGGCAAAACGACTCGTGGACGCAGCCGCTTGCCTGAGAGCAGTGCTAGCTTTCTTGTTCATCTAAGGCCGAGAAGTCCCAGATGCAGCAGCTTGACCAGCAGCTCTTTAAGGTACCTGCCCTCCCGGTTGAGGTGAGCTTTGCCAGGTCCCGGTCTCAAGCAGAGGATTTCCGGGTCCTGGTGCTTGGAATGGATCTTCTGGGCCGTGAAGTCTTGAGCGATCTGGCTGAGCGTGGTTGGGAAGTCCAGGGTTTGTGCCAGAAAGCACCGACACAGCCTAAAGAGCGATGGCGTGTTTGGACCTGCGATGTCACCAGCGCAAGTGACCTACAGATGCACCTCCAACGATTTCGGCCTCAGGCTGTGGTGAACTGCCACACAGCTGCAGCTCTGTCAGGGCTGGTGGAGCCATCCTCAGACAACGACGCCCAGTCAAGGAAAGTCCTGGCTGCAGCTGCTGCCCTGGCCTCAGCTTGCGAGGCCTGGGGAATTTTCCTGGTACAGCTCAGCTCCAACGCCGTCTTTGGCTATGGTGACCCAGCCATGCCTTGTGCAGTGGACATGGAGCCACACCCACAGACGCCCTTGGGATGGCGTAGCCTTGCCGCAGAGCAGGAGGTTCTCAGCCGTTGCAGCTGCGCAGCGGCGCTGCGCGTCCCGCCACTGTACGGCCCTGTGGAGTCTTTGGATGAGTGTGCAGTCACTCGCGCCTCTCCTTAATTGAGGTTTGAAAGTCCATGTTGATTTTGATGGGTGCGGCATGGTGCTTTTTCAGAAGGATGCTCCAGAGAGGCGAGTGTGTATGCCCATGACTTAGTCTTCCATCCTCATGACGTGTAGGCCGATGTGATGCATTGTGCATAATGAATGGGTTCTTCAAACACGGAGCATCGCCATCAGGCGTGGCGTAGGGACTCCGAAAGGAAGCTGCCTTCAGAACATAGACGGAGTCATCTGACAGGTGAGCGTTATCTAAAGGTTCCCGTAGGAAGAATTGACCACCAGGCAACTTACACACATGTCGAGTCGTCGAGGCACAGCTCTGCCAGGCTATGGCTCTGAACTCTCCGAGCCAAGTTTCGCATGTCGTTTGGGAGAAAGGCATGACTTCTTTCATCTGTTTTGTTTCAATCCGGTCCTTTTCTCATAGTAGCCTGGGAGATTATCCATGCTAGACATTTTTCGGGCTCTAAGCCTATACAAAGCATGGCACTAATCCGGACCTTGCAACATAAGTTTGCGCAAAACTTTCGCAAAAGTTCCGTGTAAGTATCATGTACGTAGAGGTTAGAATCTGTGGGCACGAGCTCACAGTAGATGGGTGTGTACAAAAGGTAGCCCGCTCTGGGCCTGAAATCATATCCTGGGGAGCCTTCCCAGCCTCTGATCTTGCCCTTGGCATGTGCAGGTCTAGGCTGGGAGACTGATGCTTCGGATTCAGGTATGTAGGAAAGGATTTTGCGAAGTCACCGGCTTTCCAATTCTAAGTGCAGAGCTTCGGAACTGTTACCGTAAAGGAGCCAGATATCAGAAACATGAGCGGCGATGGGTCCGCGAAAGTTTCGCAAAAGCTCTTTCTCTCGAAGATGGTCATTTCAGGATGAAGGAATTGGGATAAACGCCCATGTCACCAAGGCTTGTTGGAAGACCTGCGCGGAGGTGTCCGAGAATTTGACAACTGCCAACACTGCTATCCTACATGGGCAGGGGAGGTCGCTAATATAGTGACCAGCCTTCTCCAGCGAATGCAGCTGGGATATGGGCCGCGTGGCATTTACCACTGGCAAGGTGGCGACCAGCTCACGGAGCTTCAGGTGGCGCAGCTTGTCGCTGATATTTCAGGGATGAAGCTGTCGTTGAGACCACTCCCGCTGCGCTCGGGCACGGCAAGCAATTGTCTTGACTGCTCGCGGACCATTCGCACACTTTCAGCCCCAAGGGCAATGCCCATCATGAGCGGCTTGCAACTGTGCCTGCAGCCCTTTCAAAAGCCGCTGGGCCAGCAGAAAAATGGCTCGGAGCCTACCCTGCGAATCGCTGGCAATATCAGCACTCAAGGTGCTGGACAAGGAGGGGAGCAACATGTTTAACCGGCGCCAAAGTGCTCCGCATGCCAACGAAAAACAGCTGTCCGTTTTCATTGCACCTTGTTGTGCCAGTGATCTTGGGCTCATCATCTTGAACCCATTCCTGCCAGCATTTTGTATCGCATTAAGGGCCTCTAACGTCTGTGAGTAAAAGCGCAAGATGGTGTTTTCCAAGCTGACACCGGCGTGAAGCTCAGCCCCGTTGGTTAGTGTCGTTGTGTGCTTTGCAATCCCGCCTCGAAGCCTCGTCTTGTCACCTTCAGCCGTGCAGGTCGTCTGCCTTGGGCTCGTCGCCCGCGCTTCCGCTTATGCCCGTGCTGCTTTCGCAACCAGTGGACAGGAGCGGAACCTCTCACTGCAAAGGAGGTCAGAATTTTTATCTTCATATCTGTTGGTAACCAGGAGCTCGCAGAGATGCCCCTCCAGGACGGTCTCAAGATTCCTTAAAACGGAACCCTAGCACTTCTGGCCGCTCTGGCCGGCAGGACTACGTCGAGGGCGTGAAGGGCAGGGCTGGACTCGGTGACTTGCAGCGCCTCGGTCGAAATTTCTCAATCTTCCGTTCTGAGCCAGCATGATTGTGGGAGGCAAGGTGGGCACTGGCGATCTTAGGCTGATGGCCAGCTGCTGCGGGGAGTACTCAGGCCCAGACATTCCAAGTAAGCATCTGTTCTCATACTGACTTTTTCCCAAACGGAATTTCCGAGCAAAACTTCCTGTCAGGCAACGTGGCAGAAGTGCAGAACGACATCAACACCAACAAGATCTTCGGAAGCACAGGCGACGTTGCAAAGCAGATCTCCGCGACATATGGCTGCAGTCCTGTTGCTGTGGGGAGCATGGGCAAAAGTGGTGATGCCGGCTGCTCTTATGTCAGCGTGTTCCAGAATATGGACCATGCTGACCATCAGTATGCTGCTAACTGCGTGCCGGCCACGGTTTGCAAGGAAGACGTGGTGGGTATGACCAAGGGACTGATTGCCACCTACGGCGTGGTCTTGCAGATCCTGCAACAAAATCTTGGCTCCCTGGCCTACATCGGTGAGGGAACCAGCACGAGCTGCTATGAGGGCATGAACAAGATCAACCAGGGCCAGCTCCATGACGTGTTGGTCACGGAGCCCGTCAAGCTGGGTCCCATTACCATCGGACACGCCACCAAAATTGACATCGAGGGCGTCAAGAAGCTCGGCGTTAAAGACACTCTTTCCAACTGCAAGGACATGGATGAGCTTAGGCTTAGGCATGTTGCAACATCTGCTCTCTCTACAACTCGACGCCTTTAGAGATTCTTAGCCTTTCCCGAGCCTCATTTTTTCGGGGCACCTCTGCCGCGAGGACGACTCCGAGGTTGCCTACCTTTTCATCCACAACAATTTGTACTGGTCCAAGGACGAGTCGAACGTGAACCTCCAGGCCTGTGAGAGGGGCCTTTTCAGCACTAAGCACTCGGAACCTTCATTGCCAGGACTTCGAGAAGTTCAAGGCAAAGAAGGCGGAGGAGAAGGAGGAGCTTAAAGAGAAGAAAGAAGCGAGCCTTGGCTGCGGGCGGGTGGAACTTGTGATCGGCCAAATCATCCCACATCTGAGGGAGATGATCGCGGCCGCCGTCGCGGCCAAGGACACTGAGACAGCGGAAGCCGCGCTCGACAAGGCCAGAAGCAGAGCACATGTTTGGGTTTGCAGGTTGCATTCCCAAGCTGCCGCGAACAGGTCGGTGCTGCGCCCCAACCCGCCAAAGTCGTCAAGGAGGCCAGTCGAAGCCGACCAGACCATTGCTCACGCTGTTCCTTGAGTCTACCTTAATTTAGCTTTATGTTGCAACTTATGCTGACGGGCCCGCACTGCAGCGGATAGCTTCGCAGATTTCCTTATCAGCACCACGACCCGTGGCCCCTCTCATGAAGCCACAGAACGACGGCACCTGCAGTTCAACTTGCAGGGTTTAGTCGGTGTGGGCTGAACTCCGCTGCAAAATGAGGCCACGTTATGCTAGAAGGCTATGGACCTCCAATCTGAGGATTGCGCTTTGGGTGCGAGTTTTTAGGGGGCTCATATGAGCGACGCATTCATTTCGTGTAGGAGCCAAGGTCAGGCGGAGATGAAAACATACCGACATGAACAAAACCCTAGTAAAACGATAGACTCCCGCAAAAAACGATACCCCCAAAATGGGCGACTTATAATAAGCATCCCACCCGAAAGCAAACATGTGCGGCATCCAGGCGAGGGATCTTGCAAAACACTGTAAAGCTGTAGGTATGAACATCGCAGTGTGCCAAAACCCTTTTAAAAAGGAGAGGACTCCCCCCGAAAAAGCGACAACCTTGATTTGTTACTTAGCTGTTTTTGAGGTAGTTTAGGCAGCTGTTCATCTGAGAGATGGCATAGATATCTAAACCTATCAGTGGCTAGTCACTAAGCTGGATGAAGTGCGTATTGGTGACAGCCATTAGTATCAGTGCCAATGGTATTCGAAGCCATCAGGGCATTTTGCAAAGGCAGGCTCCGAGCAAGCCGCTTCTGAAAAGGTTGCTGGCGTGGCTTGGAGGTTGCCAGCGGTTGGGTCAGAGGCTGCTCTTTGTGTACTAGCACCTGAAGACATGGCAACATAACACTGCCCCGGAGACAAAGCCCTGAACTCCAAACCTTACAATCATGGCGAAGATGCTGTAAAGAAGGAAGTGCCGAAGAATGCCAAGCAACCCGTCCGCAAGATGGTTGCGCAGCAGGTGGGGAAGGCTAAGGTGATTCTCAAAAAGGTTTGCAAGGGCAAGACGGCTGACTGGTGGGCATTCAGCTATTGTGCAGAAAACATGTTGGAGCTCCAAAATCAGAAGGCCCCGATTGGGGGCATGTGGGCTTACAAGAAAGAATTATATTGAGGTGAATTCATGAGGGTGCGCTGAGCTCATTGTACAACGGGGTATGAATCAACATATGCTTTCGTGCGCCCCGTAGTTTGGTTTCGGCTCCACATCACGTGGAAGGGTGCTGAAGAGTGCGATCCACGTGGTGAGGCGTACACCCAGCGTGCCGAAACGCCGGAGCCAAAATCATAGAATCGGTGCCAGTACGCCATCCAAAATTGGTGTGATCCTCTCTCTTTGTGCGGGCGTGTGGCAGAGTTTGGGAAAGGGTGGCCATCCCATTCCGTGCGGTTCGTCAGGAACCGAACCTTCCGTGAAACGGGAAGCCGTGTTAATTAACTTACCGCGATCTGGAAGCCGAGTTCAAGCTTCATGGGAACCTGTATGGTTAGTGTATACCCCAATGGTTTGAGGTGTTTCTTTTTGGTGGTTTTTAGGAGAGTCTCGCTTTGAGGCCCTTGCCCATCATTATTCTTTCGTGCTGTACTTTGCGGCTGTCCTATCACTATATATTTCACCCGAGGTCACAGGGTTTTGAACAGGAGCCCTTGCACGGTTCGCAGCGGTTCGATTCCTCAACGATTCCGTTTCCAGGTAATCCTGACTATGGGAGCTTGCGTGACTGAAAGAACTACGGGGCGGTGGTGATGATCAGAACACTGTTCTGTTGGCATCATCCTGATTCGTGCTATGAGGACTTTTGGGGGTACTCTGCTTTGCGGCTGCTGCTTCCATTGTTTCCACCGTCATCGCCCTGCCTACATGCCAACGAAAGTACCTACAACCAGGGTTGCGTTGTATTGTTACTGCTTTACTCTGCTGCTGCCACATTTACGCGAAGTCTTGCTCATACTGCTGCTGCTGATGTTGCTGCTCGCCCTGCTCGGACTTTTTTCTGTGTCTCTCCACCAACGCCACAACCGCAAGATCAGACTGTCCTCTTTCAAGGGGAAGCCCAGAGAGAGCAGCTGGAAGTGCAAAAACATGTTTGCATCGTAGCCAGCTAAGTGCTCCAAGGAAGACGTCCGCGAAGCCAAAGGAGGCCAAGGCGCAACGGATGGGGAGTTGGAGCATGTTGGAGCATTCTGAGTGTGTTTGCTTTTCGACATCAGATCTGATCACCGTGATCTTCCGCCAGAATTTTGTCATCATTCTACAGTGATATTGCCATGCTTGCTAACTTGCTGAGGCATCTACATGCATCATTGAGTCTACCCGTTCAGGATGGCGTTCTCATGAAACGGACACTGAAACTTTGGGAGGTGGAAGCAGAACTTGAGGCCCCCTACTATTTTCAGCAAACGTCACATATGAAAGGGGTCACCGTCCCGGTTTCGTAGATCCTGGTATGAAGAAATTCGGCCGCTTGCGCGAAGGATCGAAGATTGGCTGACGTCGTCGTCTGAAAGGGCGAATGCGATCTGGTGCGACGCAGCAGGTGAAGGGTAAGATTTGTGTGTGTGTTTTTTAAAAATAGTTTTCATGGCCAGGGTGTTCCAAACCCTTGCCCAGCTGCTGCCGCATGCTCGCGAAGTCTGCCAGCAAGCAGGCTCTAGACCACGGAAGTCTTGATTGCAGAGTCCCCGCTTTCAGTCTCATCTCATCTGCTGCCAGTCCTTGTCTGCCGATAGCAAATGGCCTGTTGACAGGAGTTAGTGCGGTACTTTGGAAGCGGGATTTCCGGTGTGAACCTTTAGCTTCAATTGGACTGCAACTGGCGCCCTAAAACGTGCACAGCTGCAGCGCTACCTGCTCTGGAAGCTCGAAGGTTTTGCCAACCAGACTGACCCGCGGACTCTGCGAGCCATGGAAAGTAAGGTAGGAAGTAATGGACAGAAGGAATAAGGATGCAATATGTTGTGGTTCTCGAGCTTTGGCAAGCCCTCGCCTTGCCCACGCCTACGAACACTTGTAACGTGCCTGAACACCGGCCGGAGGCCGTTTCCTGCATTCAGAAGTTTCAAGGAGGCTGCTCAGACAAAGAACTACTTTTCTGCTGAGCAGCATGCTGACTGTTGCCTCACCCTCGTCATGTCACACCATGTCTGCATCATCATGGCATGCGAAAAGTTTCCTGGAGCATCATTAGGGCTTCACCAGGATGAAACATAGGGCGTACATCCTGCGTAGGAGAACTGAGGGCGCAGTGCAAAGCAGTCATATTTACAACCTCCTGCCCGCCAACTCAATGCGGAGCGCTGCAGCCCGTGAAGCTTTTTGCCCAAACAAGGATGCTTCTTCAGAGCCAGTGCACGTGACATGCAAGAACTTGAAGTCTAGGAAGACTTCACATGCATGGCAAAGTGGCAGCACTGCCTTGGGTCCAATCGGTTGCAGGATGAGCCGACTGCAGAACTGTTACTTGCAAGGGCCAGTGAAGACCACGGCGCACTACCTGCTGCCATGTTTTCCTCCGGCACCGGCCTAAGAATCAGTTGCGTGCGTGGATGTAAACCCTAGACCCTAAGCGGGGGCTATATAGGCTTACATTATAGAGTTATACAATACTAGCACTCTTCCTTTGTAGGCATGACTATCCCACCCCCATCGAGAGAAAGGAGCAGCACCCAGGTCATGCGAGTCAGCCTGATGGTAGCCCGCTCGCCTCGGGCATGCTGTTTACCAACTCCATGCGGAGTGGTGCGCCATCTGCGCACATGCGGAGCTTGTCAGGACGCAACTTCCAGGAGAAAAATATATTTTTCCATCTTCTTTTCCATTTGATTCCCCAATATCAGGCCCTACATCCCCATAATTTCAGTTCAAGCCGCATTCAGGACTACCATCGGAAGGCGGGGAGAGCCATGAAGCTTCGGCACATCGGCAGACAGTGGCCCTGCGCTAAGCGCATTGTCGAGCTTTTTACCTGATGGTTTACCTGATGCGTTCTAGTCAAGGTGGAAAGTGATTGGATAACAGATCAGGTGCAGGCACGGTTGTGCAGTGCAGCAGTGGAACGGCCTTTGCCGTCGCGCATCGTGCACCCCCAAAGGTCTCCATCAGCAAGCTCTTGGACTTGTTGGGGCCATGGTTGTTGCAGCCAGTCCTAAAGAGTACACTACCCAGGGGTGCGGCAAGATGCATCTTAATTGCGCGATGCCCACCTGCGGTGAAGGCCTTTTCAACAAGCCGCGAGCTTCTAGACAGAATTAAGCCATGCACGCACAGGCCAAGTGTCTTCGGAAGGTGCAAAACATCAGCCCGTGGAATGTTCCCGGGCTTCTGGCTTGGCATGTAGGAACCATCACACAAGCCGCCCTGCAGGGCCTTTTGCCCCTGCATGTCTTTTCTAACGTCAACGAAGATTGTTCAAGATGCTGTGGTTTCTTCCAGCGGTGTCCGTCATCCTGCCGCGGCATAAGGCCCCGCGAGTTCCGCGATGGCCTTCCCTTACGATACAATTTGCTGGCCTCGGATGAGGAGAGGGTTCTTGGCAAGCTGGAGAGGCGCGGGGCTCAGTTGTCAAGGCCAACGGCCAGGGCGGTTCGAGAACGTCTGACAACCGCGGGATGGAGGCTGGGTGGTCGGGCACTGGCACAGGAGAAGAAGGACTGCTTGGTCTTCACCGTACTGTACTGCCTTCTCTGAGCCTTTTGCTGTGCTTTCAGGAGACTTTCAGACTCTACGGAGAAGAGGGAACAATGATGGTATCAACCCGCTCGGGACTTAGCTTGTGCATTGTATGCATGACCATAGACCATAGATCATCGCATGAGGTAGCGTTGTGATCTTCATAGAGCTGCAGTACGAGAACGGGCAGCACATTGCCAGATGTTCTCTCAGCAGGCGGGAAGTTCGTAGAGTCGCCCACGCCTGCTCAAGGACCATAGAGCTTCAAGCCATATGCGTGGGCAAAGTCACAGGATGGACTTGCGGTCAGCAAATAAGAACATCTACAGCTGCTGGGGCAACGAGAATAGTGATGTGCCTGCCTGCGGCGCCCGGAGCCTCAGATCCAGTTTGGATCAGAGAACGCCTTGTTGGATCTGCACGAGTATAAGGTGGAGCTGACAATGGTTGAGTGCGGCCAGGTCCTCCACTTGGAGTGTTTGGAGGACCGGAACTTTGCAAAATTCAGTCCTGGAAACTCCTGCGACTTGATGTAGGTACCGATATGCGGAGGGCGTGTATTGAGCTTGTTTGTGAGCCATGAACACAACCTGAGGGATGGGTTCTAGGGTCGGGGTCCTCAAGGCGGCGCCGCAAGACAATCCACAATTTGGACGGGAAGTTAGAATCTGAAATATGATGTTGTGGTGGATTGCGGTCCGTGGTCTGTGGCCTACAGGAGCTTGAGTGCACAATTGTGTTTAGGCTAGACGTGGGGTCTTGGGGTATAGCATTCTTAAACACGTGGACCCGCCCTTCTGCAAGCGCAAAACCATTGACGGCCTAGCACATCCTTCGCGTTTCAAACGTCAGGACCAGATCCGTGCTGTAGAAATAGAAAACTTGCGGTTGCGGCTGATCAACGCCACATGGCTGGCAAAGTGTTGTTGGTCTTGGGGGGTCGGGGTAGACGGGGTAGAAGGTAGCTTCCACAAATTGAGATATCGCAGGTTTGAGGACGCGCAGAGTATCAGACTAAACTTGTTTTTGAGGACATTCAGCGTGGGATTCAGGTCGAGTCGATGGCTCGAGCGATAAAAAGCACACGAGGGACCTTGCATGTTTGCAAGCGTGGATAAAGTTTCATGGTTTGGTATCGGGTATGCAAGCTTGTTATGAGCTTGAAGCGCTCGTCATTTGTGCTTCCATGTAACGTGCGTCAAAGACACCTGTGAACAGGAGTCTCCTGAGTTATCTAACTAACCTAATGTGCCAGATGACGTATGGCAATATTTCGCCTAACACTCACACCAAACTCTTCGTGATGGTGGATCAAAGACAGCAGCATATGCTCTGGTGAGTACTTCAGGCCTTTACAGGGGATGTATGCATGTCTATTCTGTCATGTTACAGAAGTGGATGTATATGGCATACTGTAGTATCCCAGGGCATACTGTGGGCTACTACAGGGAGTATACTGTGTTGTCGAGTGTTTTAGTATAAGCTGCATTTGTGTGTCAATAAAGAAGGGCAGCGGTTGTATGCTACAGAAGGCTAGTCTTTCCAGTTTCTTTCTATCCACGTGTGAGCCGTGGACCCCGTCCTAGGGTATCCGCGCTGCACTGTAGCTCGCGGTTCCAGTACAGGTCCCGGTAGAACTGCTGTATTGTAAAACTCTACATACCTCGCCCTAACTCAGTCGCTCGTAACGTAGGAAGCTATGAGCTCTTGACGTGTGGTCAATTGTAATTTGGCTCAAGTCTCCTCTTTTTAGCTAAGTAGGCGGTGGGAATATAGTTGCTCGCCTATTACATTGGCCAACATCAGCGAGAAGAGCTCTGAAAACCGCTGGAAGCAAAACATTGAGTGCGAAGCAAAGGGTTATACAAGCTGTGGTGGAAGTTGCATTCTGGCTGCCCAGTTACCCTCTGACATGTATGTCTACTCATCACGTTGTTGCTGGAATTTCCTGTTTGGTAGGAAGCTATCCTTTGGTATTGCATTGTTGTTTACATACATACGGGGAAGCTTCCTTAAACTTGCTAGCAGAGGATTTGGAAGCCCTTGCAGAAGCCCCGAAGCATCATCAAACCATGTTCGGGGTCTGAAGAGATGCAGGCTATATCTAACATTCTTAAACACGTGAACGCATCCTTCTGCACGCGCAAAACATTAAGCCTATAGCACATCGTTCGCGGTTCAGACGTCAGGTGGAGCGTCACATCGCAATCCAGGCATTACGCCGGGAACTGATGACTGCAACATGACTAGCAAAGCGTCTTTGGTTTTTGGGGCGTCGGGGTAGACTGGGTAGAAGGTAGCTTCACAGATTGAGATATCACAGGTATGAGGACGCGCAGAATATCAGACTAAACTTGTCTTTGAGGACCTTCAGCCTGGGATTAAGGTCGAGTCGATGGTTTGAGCGATAAAAAGCACACGCGGGACCTTGCATGTTTGCAAGCGTGGATAAAGTTTCATGGTCTGGTATCGGGTATGCAGGCTTGTCATGAACGTGAAGCGCTCGTCATTTGGACTTCCATGTAACGTGCGTCAAAGACACCTGGACCTGTGAAAAGGCGTCTCTTAATGTGCCAGATGACGTATGGAAATATTTCGCTCAAGACGCACACCAAACTCTTCGTGATGATGCAGCAAAGGCAACAGCAAATGCTCTGGCGAGTACAATTGGCCTTTACAGGGGATGCATGCACGTCTACGATGTATTACAGAAGTGTAAGTATATGGTATACTGTGGTATTCCAGGGCATACTGTGGGTTATTGTAGTATACTGTATTGCAGAGTGTCTTAGTACAAGCTGCATTCGTGTGTCAACGTGTAAGGGCAGCGGTTGTATGCTACAGTAGACTAGACTTTCCTGTTTTTCTTTCTTTGCCATGTGTGAGCCGTGGACCCCGTCCTAGGGTATCCGCGCTGCACTGTAGCTCGCGGTTCCAGTGCAGGTCGCGGTGGAACTGTTGTATGTCTAGTCATCTCGTTGTTGCTGGACTTGCCTGTTCGGTATGAAGCCATCCTTTGGTATTGCGTTGTTGTTTATATAAATACGGGGAAGGTTCCTTAAGCAAGGCCCTTCCTTAAGCTTGCTAGCATTTGGAAGCTCTTGCAAAAGCCCCGAAGCGACGCCATGAAACATGTAGGAAAAGCGCTGTCATATCAAGCAATGTTCGGGGTCTGAAGAGATGCAGGCTTTATCTCTGTTAAAGTAATTGCCTCAGCACGTTTGACAATCCAACATTATTTTCGGTAATTGGTGTGGGAAAGCAGCAGAGTTTGATCAGGCTCAGGTTTGTAGCTTTTATTGGAAGCATTTAACCAGCCATTATTATTCAGGCGAGCATCGAAGAGAGCTTGGAAGTACAAGCCGCTGCTGCAGCCTGGGCCGCTTGGTGCATCGTGGTCTCCTGCCTTCGGCGGGCTAGCTCATGGAACTCTTCGTTGTTTTTGTCGCTGAATCGTTTTTGAAAAAATGCGAAAATACCAAAAAAATGAAATATGATGAACATCATCAATTTCATCATATTTCATCATGTTTCATCATATTTCATCTTTTTGGTATTTTCGCAATTTTTTCAAAAAATGCAAAATCATTTTCTAAAATACGTTTACAATTGTTTTGGTTTTCTTTGTTTTTTTTTTTTATTATGATTTTGTTGTGTTGTCAGTTTTGCTGTGATTATGTTTTCAATCTTGTGGCTGGCTTCATTTGTGTGATTAAAAATACATTTAAAACGTGAGACTAGGATTGAATAATATGGTTGTGAGGGCGATGGACGAAAAGGCCAGAGGGCCGGGGGGGGGGGG